AAAAAAAAAAAAAAAAAATCTCAAATGTCAATTAAGTTGTTTTAAAAGTCTGGTTCTGCCATTTATTTTGAATATTAAAGAGATTAAAGAGTTGAGATTGTATAGCCAGCTTTGAAAATGTTGGTTGGTAAAGGTCTGGAGGTGATCCATAAAGCCACTAGGTGCTTTCAGGATTTACAAGGCCTAACTCCTTGTAATAGCACAGCTTATCTTTGTTTTATTAAAAAAAAAAAATTTTTTTTTTTTGAGATAGTTGGCTACCAGGCTGGAGTGCAGTGATATGATCATGGCTCACTGTATCCTTGACCCTCCTGGGGTCAAGTGATCATGACTGACTGCATCCTTGAACTCCTGGGCTCAAGCAAGTCTCCCAACTCAGCCTTTTGAGTACCTGAAATTGCAGGTGTGTACCACCATGGATGGCTAATTTTATATTTCATTTTCTGTAGAGAGGGGTCTCATTATGTTGTTGCCCAGGCTGGTCTCTGAACTCCTGAGTTTGTGAAGCAGTACTCCCGCCTCTGCCTCCCAAAGTGTTGGGATTACAGACGTGAGTCGCTGCACTTGCCAAAATTTTATTTATATATATATATATATATATATATATATATATATATATATATATATATATATATTTAGACAGAGTCTTGCTCTGTCACCCAGGCTGGAGTACAGTGGTGTGATCTTGGCTCACTGCAACCTCCACCTCCTGGGTTCAAGTGAGTCTCATGCCTCAGCTTCCCACGTAGGTGAGATTATAGGCATGCACCACAACGCCCAGCTATTTTCTATCTTTAGTAGAGATGGGGTTTAACCATGTTGGCTAGATTGGTCTTGAACTTCAAGTGATCCACTCGACTCAGCCTCCCCAAGTGTTGGGATTATACCGCTTCCGGCCCAAAACGATCTTTTAAATGAACATCTGTAGGTTTTATTGTTGTAGTGTTCTGGTGTAGTCTGTTTTATTGTAGTAACTATCTGAGAGCTGGTAAGTTGAGACCATAAAAAAAAAACAAAAACCCAAAATCATGCTTAAAACTGATTCTTTCCAAGGTTGCATTTTTGTTAAAATCTACTTAATAGTTGGCTGGGTGATTTTTAAAATTTTTCTTTTTTTTTACTGTGTCCTGGTCTGAGGAATGATTGCTTCTACATACCACTGTTATCGCCAGTATTTAATTATGCTTGTTCTGGTCCGTGAAGTTTGATAGGAAGGGAAGAAAGAGCTTTGGTTGGCTGTCCTAGATTCACAAGTTAAAATTTTCACGTGAGTTAACTTTTTTTTTAATTTTAAAGGACAATTTGCTAATTTAACATTTAAAAAGCAAACTATTAGATACACTAGTTAAGTTTACTCATAGTATCTTCTCTCAGGAAGTGTTCCTGCATATGTATACAGAGGAGAAAATACTAGGGAGATATATTGCTGTAGTTTCACACCCCTCTGCTTTGTAATCGGTAAGGGGATACTCTGCATCCACTATGAGAAATTAACTAGCTCTCTCGATAAATGTTATATATTATTAAATATTGTTAGAAAAGCAGGCTGCTGAACAATATTGTTTCTAGTTTAAAAATGCAAGGAAAACTATTGTTTTTGTAGACATGCAGTATATATGCAAAATTTGTAAACAACGCTTTAAAAGGATATACAATCTCTGATTTTTCCATTTAATGATGGTGCGAAAATGATAGACATTCAGTATGCTCCTCAGTTTATGATGGGGCTATATCCAGATACATGTATTATAAATTGAAAACATTGTAGTCTGAAAACGCACTTTTGACTTGCTTATATTTATGATAGGTTTATCTGGATGCAGCTGTGTTATAAATTGAGGAGCGCCTGTACATCAAAATTTCATTGGTTACTTTGTCCAAAGAGGGTGGGATTGTGTAGAAGGGACATTTCTTTTTTGTCTATGCCAAATTTTTTTATGTGTTTATCATTGTGATTTGCCTACATTGAAATAAAAGTAACAGCATTTAGACTTAATTTTCCTTTCATGATTTGAATAGAAGTTTTGAGTCAATTGTAGTCCTAAACTTCAGGCAGTCCTGAAAGTCAACTTTTTATTATTCATACAGGGAATACCCTTACAGGTAAACAGCTATACACCGATGTACATTAACATTTAACTTCTGATAGAGTTAAATGTGAAAATTACAAGATGGCAAGATTTACATGCTATGTAACCGTCTGTTTTCTTTTTCTTTTGTTTTTTTGAGACGGAGTCTTGCTCTCAACAGGCTGGAGTGCAGTGGCATGATCTTGGCTCACTTCAGCCTCTGCCTCCCAGGTTTAAGCGATTCTCCTGCCTCAGCCTCCTGAGTAGCTGGGACTACAGGCATGTGCCATCACGCTCAGCTAATTTTTGTACTTTTAGTAGAGATGGGGTTTCACTATGTTGGCCACACTGGTCTTGAACTCCTGACCTCAAGTCGTGATCCACCCGCCTTGACCTCCCAAAGTGCTGGGATTACAGGCATGAGCCACCGCACCTGGCCTATCGTCTGTTTTCTTACGTCATGCACTTTTAAAACTTCTGAATAACTTGAAGTTTCTTCACATTGTAGGACTTACCATTTCATTCAGTTATTTTCATTAATACATGATAGGTGCTAAAAACACTAGATGTAGTATTAATGCCAGACAGATTTTGCAATGGAATATGCCTCGTGAATTTGTTTTTTAGTGATAATAAATCAGGGGACGTTGGAATTATTCTGGAGAGAAAAATTTCAAAATGAAATAGAATTTAATAATAATGGGTTGTACATATTTCTTAAGAGATATCTCAGACCGGGTGCAGTGGCTAACACCTATAATCCAGCACTTTGGGAGGCAGAGGCAGGCAAATCACTTAAGCTCAGGAGTTTGAGACCAGCCTGGACAGCATGGTGAAACCTCATCTCTACAAAAAATTAGCCAGGCATAGTGGCGTACATCTGTGGTCCCAGTTATTCGTGGAGGCTAAGGTGGGAGGATCACTCGACCCTGGTGGGTGGAGGTTACAGTGAGCTGCCATTGTACTCCAGGCTGGTCTCGAACTCCTCGGCTGCAGCCATCCACCCGCCTTAGCCTCCCAAAGTGCTGGGATTACAAACGTGAATCACAGTGTAAGCCAAAAAAAGATACCTCTTTTTGAAGCACAGTGGAAATTTCTTTTAAACTTGGTAAAATGTTAGATCACTTTAGAGATATCAGTGGTTGGTGGGTGTCCTGAAATAGGCTCCCAAAAATGTTTGAAGACTTGAAAATAGCGGTTCTTTAACTTGGCTGCATGTTGAAGAAAGGAGGGGTGGGGGTGCTTAAAAATTATTGATGATTTGGTTTCATTTGCCAAAATTCTGACTTGATTAGGGGAAGGGATAGGCATTGGGGTTTTGTTTTTATTTTTTGAGACAGAGTCTTGCTCTGTTGCCCAAGCTGAAGTACAGTGGTACAACCTTGGCTCACTGCAACCTCCACCTCCCAGGTTTAAGCAATTCTCCTGCCTCAGCCTCCCAAGTAGCTAAGACTACAGGCATGTACCACCATGCCTAGCTAGTTTTCTTGTGTTTTTATTAGAGACAGGGTTATATACCATGTTGGCTAGGCTGGTCTCAAACCCCTGACCTCAAGTGATCCATCCTCCTCGGCCTCCCAAAGTGCTGGGATTACAGATGTAAGCCGCTGAACCTGGTTGCCATTGGGGTTTTTAATGTACAGCTAAGATTGTATACCACTGTCTTGAACCCAGTTCTTGTCATCTATGGTTGTCCTGGCTCTTTAGCAACAATTCTCTGTGGTAATTTGTTTTTTGATATCTCATGTAAAATGGTCTCTTCCAGTTACCCTCTCCCTTTCCTTCGTGCCACTTAACACAGTGTACTTTTTGCTTGGTTACTTGTTTGTGGTCCTCCCCTCTACTGCAGTAGGAATGAGCCATCTTGTTCACTGCTATATGTCCAGTTGCTAGCACGGGGCCTGGCACATAGTAGTCACTCAGATGGTTGAGCACATGATTTTCTGACAGGCATGAGCCACTGTGCCTGGTTAAAAACATGTTTTTAAAAAGTTAAACAGGGCCTAGATGAGGTAGCTTGTGCCTGTAATCCCAACAGTTTGGGAAGATGAGGCTGGAGAATCACTTGAGCCCAGAAGTTCAAGAACAGCCTGTGCAACGTGGTGAGACCCCATCTCTACAAAAAAGTTTGTGAAAATTAGCCAGCCATGGTGGTGTGTATCTGTGGTCCCTGCTACTGAGGTGGGAGGATTCCCTGAGTCGGGAATGTCCAGGTTATAGTGAGCTGTGATCATACCACTGCACTCCGGCCTGGGTGGTGACAGAATGAGACTCTGTATCAAAAAAAAAAAAAAAGAATCATTGAGTACCACATTGTATTAGAACTGTAAAGGTAAAGAAGTAGGTACCTGAATGTCCTGTTCTGTTTTCATTGATTTTATATGATTGCTAATAATGATCTTGTTAGTATTTAATTAGATGGCAATTTGATAGGTTTAAAAAAACAAAACAAAACTCCTGGTATTGATGATAGGAATAGGTTGTGCACCTTTATGCACATTTGTTTTCCTAGCTAACAGGGTGAGCTAGCTAATGGATTATAGTCATGTCTCGCTTATTTTAATGGGATCATAAATGCCTGCAATTTTATCTTAGACTGATACTGAGTCTGCCCCTTAAAGCTACATTAAGTGTAAGTAAACATATCTTTGTTAATACTGTTTAATGCCAAATGTATTACCTTATTTTTGTCTCCCATCTGTAGGCTAAAGAAATCCTGACGAAAGAATCCAACGTGCAAGAGGTTCGATGTCCAGTCACTGTCTGTGGAGATGTGCATGGGCAATTTCATGATCTCATGGAACTGTTTAGAATTGGTGGCAAATCACCAGATACAAATTACTTGTTTATGGGAGATTATGTTGACAGAGGATATTATTCAGTTGAAACAGTTACACTGCTTGTAGCTCTTAAGGTAATTTCACTTTTATGTTGGGGCGTGTTGAAATGGGTAAGATAGTCCTCTTGAATGTTTTTTCCCAATTATTTTCTCCCAGATACAAATTACTTGTTTATGGGAAATTTTGTTGACAGAGGATATTATTCAGTTGAAACAGTTACACTGCTTGTAGCTCTTAAGGTAATTTCAGTTTTGTTGGGGCATGTTGAAATGGGTAAGACAGTTCTCTTGAATGTTTTTTCCCAATTATTTCCTCTACCCGAGTGTTAAATTTTAAAACAAAATTCTACATTTAGGAATATATGTTTGGGTTTTGGACTTACAAATCATAGGCGTCTGCATTCTGAGTAAGGGGATGATACAGAATCAAAAGGAAAGGAATGAATGTCTCAGTCATATTATTTGAAGAAATAGGCCAGGTGCAGTGGCTCATTCATGCCTGTAATTCTGGCACTTTGAGAGGCCGAGGCAGGCAATCACCTGAGGTCAGGAGTTTGAGACCAGCCTGGACAACATGGTGAAATGCTATCTCTGCTAAAAATACAAAAACTAATTGGGTGTGGTGGCAGGTGCCTGTAATCTTAGCTACCCTGGAGGCTGAGGCAGGAGAATTGCTTGAACTCAGGAGGTGGAGGTTGTGGTGAGCTGAGATTGTGCCACTGCACTTCAGCTTGGCAACAGAGGGAGACTCCATCTCACAAAAGAAAAATGTTAGAGTGCTGATGAAATAGATATTTTAGGTCAGTAAATTGGTATATGGAGAGGTAATGTAATTAATTATAGTTGTGTTTTTAGATAACTTTTGAGGTATTGTAAATGTATAAACATACCAAATGGCAAAATGTGTACATCAGCTGGTCACAGTGGCCTGTGCCTGTAATCCTGCACTTTTTGAGGTTAGGACAAGGTGGGCATATTGCTTGAGTCCAGGTGTTTGAGACCAGCCTGGGCAACATGACCCCGTCTTCAAAAAAAGAAAATTGAGTGGGGTGGCACAGGCCTGTAGTCCCAGCTGCTAAGGAGACTAAGGTGGGGAGAGTTGCTTGAGCCCAGGAGGCCATGGCTGCAGTGAGACATGATCTTGCCACCCTATACTCTAGCTTGGGTGACAGTGAGACCCTGTCTCAAAAAAAAGGGGAAGAAGTTCAAGAAAAAAAGAATTTTTCTGAGGAAGAAATTAAAGAAAATATTTTATCTAAAATTTAATAGTGAATATGTACATTATGGTTTATCTAAGTTGAATAGTTTTCAGCCATTAACAATGATATTATAATCTAGAATAGACTGGGTGCAGTGGTTCACTCACGCCTGTTATCTCAACACTTTGGGAGGCTTGGGGAGGCAGGGAGGATCAGTTGAGTCCAGGAGTTCAAGAACAGCCTGGTCAACATAGACCCCATCTCTGCAAAAAGTTTGGGGGGAAAAAAAAAAACTAGCCGGGTGCAGTGGTGCCCACCTGTAGCTCCAGTTACTCAGGAAGCTGAGGTGGGGGGATTGCTTGAACCTGGGAGGTCAAGGCTACAGTGAACCATGATTGCATCACTGCACTCCAGCTGGGTGGCAAAGCAAGAGCCCTGTGTTTCTGAAAAACCAAAAATCTAGAACTGAAGAAAGCAAGTTCCAAATTTACATGCGCTACATACCAGTTGTAGCTTTGCAAAATGTACGGATGATCTGAACATGAAGCAAAAAGTGGTAAACAGCTTTTAGGGTGGCAGGCCTCTCTGCCTTTCCTTTGAAATAAATTGTTTGACTTTACCCAAAAATCTTGGGGAGATTTTTTTTTCTCTTCCATGGCAACAGATTCATTTTTATTAAAGAATATTCAAAATGATAAAATGGCTGTCAGACTTTTCTAATATTAGAGAAGCAATGAGATGTGAATTTAGCAAGAGCTGAATGCATAGTGATGAATATCTAAATTGTGTAGAGTGCTACAAAACATTTTTGGAGGTCATTATTTTCTATATCTGTAAAATGAAGGAGTTCGACTAGATGGTGGAATGTTTCTGCAGTGACGCTAAATACTATGAAAGGAGCTAAGCTGTGCTAAAAACCCAGGATGAATCCTAGTGCTCAAAGAGGAATGAATGTGCTACCCTTAAGAGTTTATGCAAGCAGTCTGGGCAGTCTAGTGAGACCCTATCTCTTCAGAAAGCAACTTTAGCCAAACACAGGGACATGTGCTATAGTCCTAGCTGCTCTGGAGGCTGAGGTGAGAGGATTGCTTGAGCCTAGGAATTTGAGGCAGCAGTGAGCTGTGATCACACTACATTTGAGCCTGGGCGACAGAGTGAGACCCTATTTGGAGGAAAAAAAGACTAATTCATGAAGGTGTAATGGGCTGAATTATAGCCCCCAAAATTCGTTTGAGTCCTAACCCACAGCACCTCAGAATGTGACTGCATTTGGACAGTTAATTAAGGTAAAGTGGGGTCACATGGGTAGACCCTAATCCATTGTAAGTGGTGTCCTTATTAGAGATAAGGACACAGGCAGATGGGGAAGAAGATAAGCCAGATGGAGAAGATAAGCATCCATAAATCAAGGAGAGAGGCCTTCAGAAGAAACCAACTCTGCTGACACCTTGATCTTGGACTTCTACCTCTGGAACTGTGAGGAAATAAATTTCTGTTGTTTAAGCCACCTATTTTCTGATGCTTTATTGGGGCAACCTTAGCAGAAGAATACCTGGGGGAAGGATGTTCCTTTCAGTAAATGATGTTGAAGCAAATGGATCAAAATGTATGGTAGAACTAAACCTAAGAGCTAAAGCTATAAAACTACCAGAATAAATCAGAAAATCTTTGTCAGGTTAGGTAAGATTCTTAGATACAACAAAAGGATGATCCATAAAAAATGGAAAAATTGGACTTTATCAAAATTAAGATTATTTTACTTCAAAATATGACACCAGAAAAAAAGTATTTGTATTCAATTTTTTCGTTTTTTGTTTTTTGAGACGGAGTTTTGCCCTGTCACCCACGCTGGAGTGCAGTGGCGTGATCTCCACTCACTGCAACCTCTGCCTCCTGGGTTCAAGCGATTCTCCTGCCTCAGCCTCTCAAGTAGCTGGGATTACAGGCGTGCATTACCACACCCAGCCAATTTTTTGTATCTGTACTAGAGACCGGTTTTCTCCATGTTGGCCAGGCTGGTCTCGAACTCCTGGCTTCATGATCTGCTGGCCTTGGCCTCCCAAATTGCTGGCACAGCAGGCGTGAGCCACCCTGCCTGGCCTCAAATATATACATACTTACATATATATATATATATTTTCTATAGTGAATAAAAGACAGATACTTTTTAAATGGGCAAAATATTTGAATGGATACTTCACCCAAGATGATGATACATGAGTGGCCAGTGAGCACATGAAAAGATGCTTGATATCGTTCATAATCAGGGAAATGAAAATTAAAGTAACTGAGATACTACTTCACACATATTAGAATAGCTGTAATCAATAAGGTAAATAATACCAAGTGTTGGTTAGTACTAGAGATAAAAATCTTCATGCATTGCTGGTGGGAGTATAACGTGGTCTAGCCACTTTGAAAAACTTTTTGTTTCTCAAAAAGTTAAACATTACCACGTGACCCAACAGTTATATTTGTAGGAATCTTTCCAAGAGAAATGAAAGCATATGTCCACAGGAAAACTTCCATGCAAATGATTATAGCAACATTATTCATATTAGCCAAAAACCCTGGTATCTTACCTGTGAATAGAGAAACAAAAGAAATGGTATAGCCGTACATTGAAGGACTGTGCAACTATGAAGAGGAGCAAACCACTAAACTGTGCTACAACGTGGTGAGCCTCAAAAATATTTAAGTGACATTTAGCCAAAAGATACAAAAGACTCCATTTTGTATTCCATTTATATGACATTTCTAGAAAAGACAGACTCAAGACAGAAAGTAAATCAGTGGTTGCCAGGAGCTAGAGTGGGAGTGGAGAGTGACTGCAGACAGGCAGGAGGGATCTTTTCAGGATAATGGAAAGGTTCTAAAACTGGATTGTGGTGATTGTTGCATAACCATAAATTTTTGAAAAATTATTGAACTGTAAAGTAATTTATGTGTGGGGTTTTATATACCATTGATTATGCTTGGTATAAAGCTGGTGATAGAGTGAGTTTGATTTTAGTTGAGATGTGGTGAGCAAACACCCCATGGGGGTTTAAAAACTTTGTAGAGCTGCGGTTTTGGTTCAGTATGATAGAAGATGTGTGCTGGTTCTTCAACAAAATTGTAATTCTAGTGTTTTTTCTATAGAATGTTTCCTGGATTGTCATTGGTTCTTGAAAGCTAGTTGATTATGTTTTCCATTTTGTTGTTGTAGGTTCGTTACCGTGAACGCATCACCATTCTTCGAGGGAATCATGAGAGCAGACAGATCACACAAGTTTATGGTTTCTATGATGAGTGTTTAAGAAAGTACGGAAATGCAAATGTTTGGAAATATTTTACAGATCTTTTTGACTATCTTCCTCTCACTGCCTTGGTGGATGGGCAGGTATGTGGATCTCAAAACTCCTTGCTGGTTATTTCAGAGACTCTGCTTTCTTTAATGTTGAGGTGCTCATGACCCTTTGCACTCTTTTTTTTTATTTTTATTTTTTTGAGACAGAGTCTTGCTCTGTCACCCAGGCTGAAGTGCAGTGGCACACTCTCCACTCACTACAATCTCCACTTCCCTGGGTTCAAGCAATTCTCTGCTTCAGCCTCAGCGTCCTGAGTAGCTGGGATTCCAGGTACCTGTCACCACACCTGGCTAATTTCTTTGTATTTTTTTTAGTAGAGACAGAGTTTCATCATCTTGGCCAGACTGGTCTTTAACTCCTGACCTTGTGATCCACCTGCCTTGGCCTCTCAAAGTGCTGGGATTACAGGCGTGAGCCACCGTACCCAGCTGACTCCATTCTTATACCTCTTTGGGAATATATTTTAGTAGAAATTGATAGCATTCATTCAAACTTAAAAAAAAATTTAATTTGACAAGTAATTGTGTCCAGTTTTTTAAAGTGCGTTATTATTTATATCAGGCACTGAACTATATGGTGGGATCACAGAGGTGGATGGTGTAATCCATATATCCTCTCAGACTGTTTTTGGACAAGCCTGGGAGATGTAAGGAGCTAATTATTGGTTTAGGTAGATGTGTACACAAAAGAACTTACAAGAAAATTTTTTGAGTATGAAAACATTAGTGTCTGGCAGGGAATAGGAGTAATATCCAAGAAGTTTTCTCAAAGGAGCTGTTTAAGGTAGAGTCTGGGTGTGACAGCAATGGTCTGTTAGGAAGAATGAGAGTGTACTGAGTAATTTAGAGTGGGCTGGAGCAAAGATGTACCCTGCAGAGTCAACCCTCATTCAGGCAGAGCACAGAAACACCAGTGGGGCCAAGTGGTGGGGGCACCCGGCTCATTTTTTAAAAAATTTTATAGAGACACAGGGTCTTGCTGTGTTGCCCAGGCTGGTCTCAAACTCTGGGCCTCAAGCAGTCCTCCTCCCTCAGCTTCCGAAAGTGCTGGGTCACAGGCATGAGCCACTGTGCCCAGCCAAGAATGTTTACCAATTTTTTAGGTGAGGTTAACATTTTAAACCACTCATTTCAGATCTTCTGTCTACATGGTGGTCTCTCGCCATCTATAGATACACTGGATCATATCAGAGCACTTGATCGCCTACAAGAAGTTCCCCATGAGGTATGACTTTTATTTGATAAAATCTTTTCAGAAAACGTATTAGGGAGTGGAGAAGTTTAATTGTAAGTTATTTCATTATATGCATTCTCTCATTTAATTCTAAAAAACAACTTGAGGTGTGAGCACTATTGTCTGCCCTGTTCAGAAGAAGCTACATTAAGAAACCTGCCAAGATCACAACAGCTATGGAGCTGGGTTTATTAGGACCTAGGTTGTCTGTCTTCGTAGCTCTGAAATTTGCATGATATGGGCAGATTAATTAGGGCGTTGCTGTTGGGCCCCATGGATGTCAGCTGTGTCTCATAAAGACTGCTAGAAAATACACCTTGTTTGATGGCAGATGTTTGACTTCAACTATACAGTCTTATTAGCATTTTCCACAAACATCACTCAAAAAGGGTGACTTAGGTGCTGCTTCTGTTGCATTACTCAAATACTGTGTTAACCATGTTTGTGAAAGGCAGTTTATAACTTGAAGTTACTTTTTAGGGTCCAATGTGTGACTTGCTGTGGTCAGATCCAGATGACCGTGGTGGTTGGGGCATATCTCCTCGGGGAGCTGGTTACACCTTTGGACAAGATATTTCTGAGACATTTAATCATGCCAATGGCCTCACGTTGGTGTCTAGAGCTCACCAGCTAGTGATGGAGGTATGCTCTGTTCTTTGAAATATGACTTGCTTCTTAGTAAACGTAAGGAAAGATATTAGGGAATTTTAAATTAATGACTTTTGTGAGAAATTCTATCTGTTCCTTCTGATGAGTTTGCCATTATAGTGTGAGCCTTTTCAGTAGATGCATACTAGAATTAAAAGCTCAAGCTTTTGATTACAGTTAATTAACCGTTAACATGTTTTCAGAGAATTCTGAATGGAAGTGCTTGGGATTTAAGAGTGGGAAAGTAAGATGTAGGAAGTTGGAGTGTATAATATTTTATGATCCCACTGTTTATTTCATGTATTTAACACATATATATGAAGGAGAGACTGGAAAGAAATACACTAAAATGTTTTAAATGGTCCTTTGGTGGGTAGGATTACAGGTGATTTGAAAGCAGGGGAAGAGGCTAACGTTCCTTTTTTTTTTTTTTTTTTTTTTTTTTTTTTTTTTTTCCTGAGGTGGAGTCTAGCTCTTTTGCCAGGCTGTAGTTCAGTGGCGCCTTCTTGACTCACTGCAACCTCTGCCTCCCAGGTTCAAGCAATTCTGTCTCAGCCTCCCAAGTAGCTGGGATTACAGGCATATACTGCCATGCCTAGCTAATCTGTGTATTTTTAGTAGAGACGGGGTTTCACCTTATTGGCCAGAATGGTCTCGATCTCCTGACCTCGTGATCCACCCACCTTGGTCTCCCAAAGTGCTGGGATTACAGGCGGGAGCCACCATGCCTGACCAGGGCTAAAGTTCTTGATATGGCACACTGATGAGCATATTTTAAAAAATAAAGTCCTAGGCCGGGCGCGGTGGCTCAAGCCTGTAATCCCAGCACTGTGGGAGGCCGAGACGGGTGGATCATGAGGTCAAGAGATCGAGACCATCCTGGTCAACATGGTGAAACCCCGTCTCTACTAAAAATACAAAAAATTAGCTGGGCATGGTGGCGCATGCCTGTAATCCCAGCTACTCAGGAGGCTGAGGCAGGAGAATTGCCTGAACCCAGGAGACGGAGGTTGCGGTGAGCCGAGATTACGCCATTGCACTCCAGCCTGGGTAACAAGAGCGAAACTCTGTCTCAAAAAAAATAAATAAATAAAGTCCTAATTAGTTTAATACTAGTACAACTCTGTGGGTATTGATAAAATCTGACTTTGCTAAAGATAAATTTGTGAACAATACTAAACGAAAAGTAACAGCAGTAGCTTGTACATTCAGATGGATGGACTTGGAGGAAGCAAGGCTGGAAAGGCAAGAGGCATGTCTCATTTGTTCCTGGGCAGTGAACCACACTAATAGGCCTTTACCTATGACAAGAAAATTAGTGAGGTTCTGGTCTCCAGGATTAGGTGTCTACCTCTCTAGAGAATGGCCACATAAATACTTATTCTTAAATCATGTTTTAAGGCCACTGCAGTAGAAGAGGCTAATGAGACACTACCATTTTCAGCAAGTCAGATACATAAGAAGCAGTTTATTCTTTGGTGGTTGGTGCTGTTAAAGGCTTTTTTTTTATTTCTTTCTAGTACTAAAAGACCGAGTTTTGTAATTAGGGGGAAAACAAAATACATGTGTGTCTCACAGGTTGTATAAAAAGGGTTATTTACAGGTTGTATAAAAAGGGATATTTACAGGTTCTATGAAAAGGCATTATTATTAACGCAAATTTGTAAGTCATCCAGAAAAAAAGCATTAATATTTCTTAAGCCTCTTTGGCAGGGGTGGGAATGAGTAGAGATTTTCTCTCAAGTGAAGTAACATTTAGTTGTAAAAAGTAAGATATTTATCTCCTTTTCCTTGTAGGGTTATAACTGGTGCCATGACCGGAATGTAGTAACGATTTTCAGTGCTCCAAACTATTGTTATCGTTGTGGTAACCAAGCTGCAATCATGGAACTTGACGATACTCTAAAATACTCTTTGTAAGTACTTCTACCTGCCTGAACAGTTGATTGAATTGGTAAATATGTAGGTTTTTATTTTGTTTATTTATTTATTTTTTGAGAGGGGGTGTCACTGTATTACCCAGTCTTGTCTCGAACTCCTAGGCAGAAGTGATCCTTTCACTTTGGCTTCCCAGAGTGTTGGGGTTACAAGTGTAAGCCACAGTGCCCAGCTTGAATACATAGTTCTAAATGGGAGGTTTAAAGTTTAAGTGATTATGCTATGCTAGATTCCAACTTTTTTTTTTTTTTTTTTTTTTGAGACGG